CCACTCTGATTCCTAATGTTTTTCCCATCTCCCTTTCAAAGGCCAATGATGACTTCAACACATCAATCTCTGATTTCAAAGCTGTATGTTCCGCATCAGAGATCAGTTTGGGAGCAGGAGTTTCCTTAGCTTTTTGCCGAGCACAAGACAAACAAGCTCCTAACACAGCACAAATCACACCTTTACCCTTTCTTTGACCAATCCTTCGTGAAGCCTGACACTGCTCAATGCGCTCTACCACTTTCTCCTCATCTTTCCAAAACTTTTGGGAAAACTCCTTCCCTGCCTGGGAAGGGGCACATTTATATTTTTGCAGTAGTTTATCCATAGCAATCCTGCCGACTACGCCAATTATACTGTCGCGTTAAAGGTGTGTAGCTGATTAACCGTTACGGGCCCGGTTGGATTCAGAGTACTGAACCAGTCGGACATTCACCAAAAACACATTAACCGCCTGGGGGTCCAGTCAGACATTCACCAAAAACACATTAACCACCTGGGGGTCCGTTCAGACATTCACCAAAAACGCATTAACGGTCTGGGGGTCTGTTCAGACATTCACCAACAATGCATTAACCGTCTGGGGGTCTGGTTAGATTCAGAACACTGAACTATCACGGATAATCACCCTCACCCTAGTTGCATTTAATGAGAGCTATCACAATGCAATCAAGTATGGTTTATTACAGCAACAGATAATCAGGTTCTTTTGGATTGCCAGTGATAGTGACTATCTGCAAAAGCAAGCTAGTATGCATGAAATACACAGGTGTTATAGGTGTTATAGATGTTACAGGTGTTATAGGTTTTGTAGGTGTTATGGGTGTTACAGGTGTTATAGATGTTACAGATGTTATAGATGTTACAGATGTTATAGATGTTACAGGTGTTACAGGTGTTTACAGGTGCGCAGCCTAGAAATAAACGCGTTAAAAGGATCAAAGACTCTATAGAGATTTATAAGCAAATATTCAGATCTCACCCAAAGGCGTCCCAATGGGGGGGGAAGAGAGGCTCAGCCCGTCGACTGATCCCAGGAGTCAGGAGGTCCTAAGGATGTTGTATGTCCTCAGGATGGTATCTCCCCTGACGGTGGTATCTTCCCTAACATCCCCTCTCTCTTGGGCCAATTTATATTATTTTCTATCTTTTAGGTGGAGCTTGAGTGGCTCTAGTCAAGCATATCTTAGTTATGATTGGTGTAAAGTTTTCCCGTCTCCGTTTAAAGTAATAGGCTCTGAGAAATTCAGGGCGCATGATCAGTGAGGGGTGGTCGCACCTTGGAGGCGGGTAGCTTTTGGGATGGAGGTGTGTTTTGGTATTATAACGATATTATAATGAGCAAAAAGTACACTAGGGTACAGCATTTGTCAAAACATGACAGGTCTTTGGCTCAGGGTGGCAAAAAGTGCAGCTTTGTGCACAAGAACAATTGAGGCCCCACCTGATTACAGAGCCTAGCCGTGGTGTCTCCACTCCACTCCACGCTCCGTGGTGTTCCTTAGAGCTAGCACACCAAGTTTCCCCAGTGCGATAGCATCTAAGGTTGGGAGCTGTTCATGCTGTTCTAACACTGACTTCAAAAATTCATGTGAGGCCCTTCCAATGTCTCAACCTGTAAACTTAATCCCTAACCCTAAATACTACTCCACACCCTTACAGGAAACCACTACTCTAATGCCAGACCTCATAGTATCCCCTGAAGCCAAAACTCAGCCCATAGCCTCTTTCCCTTATGCTTACTCTTTTGTTTACCTTGATCCCTGCCCTTAATCCTAGCATTGAAATGCTCTGTTTAATCCTAGAGAACTTCTTTACAGACCTAAACAAAACCCTAAACCACAGAGCTTCCCCATACCCTAAGCACAGACAGCACACCTTAAACAGAACACCAAACACTTCCACTAAATTTGCCTTAATCTCTAACTCAGAAAGGTGAGCCCTAGTCCCTAACACCGTATATGAACATCTAACACACAAAGCCCCTCTTCCTGTGCATTAACCTCCCCACCTTCAAACTGTCTCGTAACCCTTAACTTTAGGCGCTTGGCCCCTTGAGGCCGGGCAGGAACCGTGAGGTTGCCGTGAGGTCTCACGGCATTCAAAGCCAAGTGAGGACTGACATCTGGCAGTGGCCCTGCTAGGCCAGCAGAAGGCACCTGCTTGGCATGCTGACTGTGGCATCCCCTCTGCCTCCACACTCAGGAGGACCCAGGCAGAAAGAAGGCCCCCAGATGGGTTGTCCTGTCCCTTCTGCTTGAGTCCATGACTGGGCACCAGCAGGAGGCACAAGGCTTGGCTGTGTCTCCACAAGAAGCTGCAAGGCCAGCAGCAGGCCCCTGGCTTGGAAGCTGCTGCTGAGGTGACTTGTGTCTGGTTGGCTGAGAGGCTGCAAGGAGCCTGCTGGGTTGGGATGCCTACTTCAGGAGTGGTTTCCACCCTGATGGAGCTCCCTTTGGTCGTATGAAAGATCAGGAGAGAAAAAACTGCCACAAAGTGTTCCATGGAACGCTGGTACTGGTTACAAGGAGGGAGAAATGTCCCTCAAAGGGTCATGCTGTGGTGCCAGAGATCACCCTCTGGTGAGACCCTGGCTTTGTGCTTCAAGGAACAGCTGGTGAGGGCTGATGAGACAAGCTTGAAAGCAAGGGATGAGAGCAAGGTGGTGAACAGAGATGCCTTATGAGGGACATGGCCACCAAGAAAATCGGAGTTATCAGACTGAGCTCAGATCCAGTGAGACACCACAAGCAAAATGGTCTACAGGAACAGGGAAAAGGGTAGAGGTCTGGCATTTCCTAGGAAATCTGATAACTCAGATCTTCATGGTGGCCATTCTCCTCATAAGGCAGGTCTTTAGGAAGCTGCCAGGTTCAGAGAAGAGCAAGGACACTGGAAAGGCTGAAAGTCCCAACAGAACAAAGTTCTTTGTGTCCATGGCTATGGCTGCTGTCTAAGCCACTAATGCCTATGAGGAGACAGCTGATCGTTAAAGCACCAGGGCCTCATTGCCTCCTCGCCCCCAACCATGAACCAGGCAGGAGTCGTACCATTCTCCTGCACTTGGCAATGCACATCCCCATCTCCTACTGCCCCACAAAGATAACTGATCAGTGTCTGAAGGGAAAGGATCTCCCTTCCCACAGATTCAGGGTCAAGGCCTGGCCCTTGTTTTTAGTGACACACATCCAGTTTTCGTCCACATCAGTGTCACCTACACATTGCCTTTGTCTCCTTGTCCACACTGCCTCCAGGGTTCTGCTCTAATGAGCTGCAAGGGAGGCTGTGTCAGTGCTGGCCCTCAGGGGGACACTGCAGGAAACTTGCCTCTGACTTGCACTTCTGGAGAGATGTCTTCAATTGTCTCGGAGTGCCTGAGGTTCGTGGGCTCATCAGCAAAGCCCCCAGAGGGGTGATTGCAGTGCCTTGGGCTGGTGCTGTGCTGCTGAGCTGGGCCGGGCTCATGGGACAGAGAGAGCTCGTGGCAAGAGTGCCCTGGTGCAGAGAGCCAGCTGTGCCCAGGAGTAGCTCCTCTGCACAGCGCAGCAGGGCTGGGGGCTCTGACCGCAGCTGGCACACAGAGAGGAGAGAAGGAGAGAGGGCTTGGAGGCACTGAGGAGCACAACAACAGAGGGCAGCGTGTGGCAGGACACATCTGCAGGCTCTTGGCATCGTGAGGCTCTGGCAGCAGGGCCATGCAGGTGGGGTTGCCAGAGGGGTCTTCTACAGCTGGCACATCTGATGGCTGACAGCATCTGCCAGGATGGGTTTTATTCTACCTGTAATGTGGCATAGAAGATGTTTTAGAGGGGGCATTTTAAGAGGAAGACCGAGACTTGGTTTATTTGAAATGGAAAACTTGCTTGGATTCTGTGCTTTCAGAGTCTTGGTATGGAGGAGAGGCAGGGTTCATGACAATGAATTTTCTCGATTGTAGAGGATACGGAGACTCCAAGATTATTCCAGTGAGAGATCAATATAGCAGAAATTAAACTTCAGGCACCTCCGCCTAAAGACTGAAACAACAACGTTTGTTATCTCCTCAGGACTTATCAGGTCTTTAGGAGCTGCAACCCCTGTGATGTCCTGTACTCAGGAAGCACACAGCTTGTGGGATGAGGTCTGTGAGCAAGGACATGGAAGATACGTGGGGACAGAGATCCTTTTTCCAGCAGGGACATAGGAAGGCAGTAGAGATATGAGCAGGGGAGGCGGTAAGAGGGAGCTGCTGCAAGAAATGCTGTGAGAGGGAGGGCTCAGGCACCTCTCTGCCAGACTCTGCAGGGCAGGTGCCTTCCCTGGGACACCCCCTGCTCTCCTCTCCCACCAGCACAGCCTCTGCCCTCAAGCCCCCTGTGTCTCCAGCAGGAGCTGCCTCCTCTGCAGGCAGAGCTGCAGCACAGGAGGGTCTGCTGAGTGTCCGTCTGTCCCTCCCTGGCCTTGCCTCCCCTGGCAGCAGCACGCTGGCATTCAATGCGTGGAAAGGGGAGTATGGGGCCAGGGTGAGGGGTGTGGAGATGTGCACTTTGAGCCTGGATTCCTCTGCTCTCAGAAGTGTCCAGGTTCTTCTCAGGAGAACCTCCTTAGTGCAATTGCCCTGCAGCTCAAGGACACGCCAGCAGAGGACAACTGAAGGAACAACCAATGAAGGAAAGGGATCTGCCAATTGTCTACATGCAGTTCGGCAAACGCTTTGAGAGGTTTAACTGAAAAAGTGAAATGTTTTTTCTCAGATAATCCTGATATATTATCATTCTATTTCTGTTCCTTTAGCAGGACAACACATACAAAACAAGCAAATGCCCAACATCAGTTCAGTCAGTGAGTTCCTCCTGGTGGCATTCACGGACACGCGCGAGCTGCAGCTCCTGCACTTCGCGCTCTTCCTGGGCATCTACCTGGCTGCCCTCCTGGGCAACGGCCTCATCCTCAGCGCCATAGCTTGCCACCACCACCTCCACACCCCCATGTACTTCTTCCTCCTCAACCTCGCCCTCCTCGACCTGGGCTGCATCTCCACCACTCTGCCCAAAGCCATGGCCAATTTCCTCTGGGACACCAGGGCCATCTCCTATCAAGGCTGTGCTGCTCAGGTCTTCTTTTTCTTCTTCTTGGTTGGAGCAGAGTATTCCCTTCTCACCATCATGGCCTACGACCGCTACATTGCCATCTGCAAGCCCCTGCACTACGGGAGCCTCCTGGGCAGCAGAGCTTGTGCCCGGATGGCAGCAGCTGCCTGGGGCACTGGATTTCTCACTGCTGTCCTGCACACGACCAACACATTTTCCCTTCCTCTCTGTCAAGGCAATGCTGTGGACCAGTTTTTCTGTGAAGTCCCCCAGATCCTCAAGCTCTCCTGCTCAGATACCTACCTGAGGGAAGTTGGGGCACTTGTGTTTAGTATTTCTTTAGCCTTTGGTTGTTTTGTTTTCATTGTGGTGTCTTATGTGGAGATCTTCAGGGCAGTGCTGAGAATGCCCTCTGAGCAGGGCCAACACAAGGCCTTCTCCACGTGCCTCCCTCACCTGGCCGTGGTCTCCCTGTTTGTCAGCACTGGCGTATTTGCCTACCTGAAGCCCCCCTCCATCTCTTCCCCATCCCTGGACCTGGTGGTAGCTGCTCTATACTCACTGTTGCCTCCAGCACTGAATCCCCTCATTTACAGCATGAGGAACCAGCAGCTCAAACATGCTGTAAGGAAAATATTTTATACCTCTTTCTTCAGCATTAATAATGTGCATATAATACTAATAGGATTTCTGAAAACAAACACTCTTAGCTCAATTTCTTGAAAGTAATTTTCTTTATTATTATTTCCTATAACTTCTGGCTTTGATTTAATGTTATTCTAAGCCTCCTAATTTTTATTTTTATTTTATTATTATTATTATTAAGTCGATAATTTCAAATACATTTACAATCAATATTCTTGTTTAAATAAAGACAATAAAGAAACCGGGACAACTTCATTAGTCTCTACTGCAGTCTCCAGTGCCTCCAGCAGTGAACCCACTCATCTAAAACATGAGGAACCTGGAACTAAGGGTTGCAGTGAGGACACTGCTTGAATACATACTCTTCAGCTTCTTTGTCTATAACAATAAGCTTATAATCAGAAATACATATTTTTCAGAAAACTTTAAGATACTTTTTTTTTGTTTATATTTGTCTGTGTTGTTATTTTCACTAACTCTTGTTTCAGATATAAATAATATTAATCTTAACCTCCTACGTGTTAAAGATTTACCTATAGAACCAGGCTTCCTCTGTAGATAAACACAATAAAGAATCCAGAAGAAATTCATTGTTCTGAGCTGCCATCTCTTCCCATCCCCTCTGGAGGTGGGGGAGTCTGAAAATCCCAAGGTGGTCTGTGAGGGATCATGGGCTGCACCAAGAGCTCTCTTTATAGTAGCACTTGCCAAAGTAGGCAACTGGATTCGTCTCTATGGGACTACGCCCCCTGCAGAGGGGCTGATGGCCGATGCCAGAGGAATCTGGAGCTGCCAGGAGAAGTCAGAAGATCTGCAGGAACAAGGTGCTCACTGGGCAGTGATTAGAACCTCATAAAATGAGTGGTCATCCAAAAAAGGTTTTGGTAAAGGAAAAAGTGAATCTGAGGAGACAATGGGCTAAAGGAGGGCTCTGCAATGCCAGAAGTGGTGGTGAAGAGTCATCAGGTAAAGGCCCATAAGACTGCACAGTAATTAAGGATAAGCATTTTGAAGTGCTGTGGGCAAGGTCTAGTGCAACACTTGCCTGTCCTTTCTGCCCTCAGAGACACCCCATGGCCCTGCCCAGCACTGCCCTGTGCTGCTGGGCAGATGGAGAGGGGCTCAGCAGCAGAGATCCCCATGGATATAGGTCTGCTGCCCACCCTGAGCAGCATTCTTGGGGGTCCCAGGGCACCACAGCCCGTGGTTCTCACAACAACACTGCCAGCTCAGGGCCTTGCAGGGAGCACGGGGAAGGAAGCAGCAACGGCCAGCATGGACACACTGCCCTGGGCAAGGCTCTCTAGGAGCAAGTAAGGCCCTGGGGAAGAGCAGGGCAGCATTGCTGGACCTGCACTGATGGGGAAAGGGGAAAGGGAAAGCTCTTTGTGCAGGCCCCTGCTCAGGGCAGGCTGCTCTGTGGCTGGCCCAGGCCTCTTGTGCTGGCCTGGGGAGCGGGGCTGGCCCTGCGGGGCACAGGCACTGTGTGCTGGGGATCTCCCACGCAAGAGAGCAGGGCTCCTGCAGCTTCACGGACCTCCATTTCCTGGCACCACGGACACCTCCTTACTCCATGCATCCAGCAGATAAACACCTATCGGCCACCTGCTTTCTCTTCTTCTAGACGAACTGGGGACAGAATAGCAAAACCAAATAAAACTCAGAAATTGTGAGACACAGAAGGCCCTGATGCTGTGCAAGAAATGCTCAAAAACAGCAACCACAACTGTGGGTGGTCATCACTGGTCACACAACCAAAACACAGTACCACAAGGGGCTGCTTTGCAGAGAGTAACTCCGTGCCAGCCACAGCCAGTACAAGGCCCCTGATGGACAAGAAGGCTTCCTCTGCACTCTGGAAGTAGCCAGGAAGGTGCTAATAAGCACCAGGACAATTCAGGAAGCCCAGAGGCCCTTCTGAAGGGTCACTGAGTGCCACCTGAGAGGCAGTGGTGGGCAGTGAGGAGGGCCAGGAGAAAGACCTGGGTGAAAGCTGTGAGAAACAGAGACACTCAGGGCTTTAGTAGATCCTTAAAGTCCTGCCTGAGTCCCCAGATAGAAAGCAGTGTATGTCTGTGGGTGGAGAAGTAGCCAAATCTTGGGACTGGGACAGGGCTGAAGGGCCCTGCGTGAAGCTGGGCTGACGGAGAAGTGTCCACCCTGCATGTGTGCCTCAGCCTGGGAGCAGGGGCCTGCCCACGGTGCAGGATGGCTGGGCTGTGCTCAGCCATGCCCCAGGAGATGACCTTGCTCTCTTCCTCCCCACCAATCCCCACACGGGGTGGGCACTCAGCAAACACCCCTGAGCCTGGAGATGCACCAACCTGCTGCAGTGAGGTGCCACTACTGCAGGGGCAGAGGGGAGGCTTGGAGAGACACGTGGGGCCTGCGGGCAAGAGTGGTGTGGCCTGGGGAAGTGAGTGCCTGGGAAAAGTTACCCTGGAGCCATAGGAGCCATTCAGGAAAGAAAACTTGTAGGCAGGGACTGCACTTTCGTGATGGTGCAGAGCCGCTGGGGACACTGTACAGGGTGCTCTGGTGGACTTGTGTGTCCTTTTCCATTGTGTCTTAAGTGCCACTTTTCTCAGAAATAGAGTAGCCAACAGAGATGTGATGGATACTCTGAGATCATGAAAGCCATCAGAAAGCTGATGCCAATGAGATGACTGATATTGGGAGGTCAGGAGAAGGCTGGACAGGAGAGATGTGAGATTTGGGGGAGGGAATAGGGGCTTGGCCAGCAGAAATTAAGGATTTTGTAGAGGTAAGAGGGTTCAGGTTACGCTGATGCTGTTGTAACCATGACCTAAAACAATCATATGAGGCCCTTCCCCACTTTCAATCAGTAACCTTAAGTCCCAAATCTAAATGCTGCTCCACACACTAACAGGAATCCAATACTCTAATGTCTGAACTCAAATCACAGATCACAGATCAAATCACAGAATTTCTAGGTTGGAAGAGACCTCAAGATCATCGAGTCCAACCTCTAACCTAACACTAACAGTCCCCACTAAACCATATCCCTAAGCTCTACATCTAAACGTCTTTTAAAGACTTCCAGGGATGGTGACTCCACCACCTCCCTGGGCAGCCTGTTCCAATGCCTAACAACCCTTTCAGTAAAGAAGTTCTTCCTAACATCTAACCTAAAACTCCTCTGGCGCAACTTAAGCCCATTCCCCAACTCCCCAGCTCACACCCAACACCCAAAATAAAATTGGTTGAAACAAAGGTAGTTAAAAGGACAGAAAATGAAGAGACAGTAATAACAGTAACAATACTAATAATAAATAATTATAAACCTTATTTTTATTATTGTTATATGTATAAAGCAAGTGATGCACAGTGCAATTGCTCATCACGCACTGACCAACGCCCAATCTTTCCCGAAGCAGGGGTCCCACAGAACCTGGACAGCCTGCATGCGGCTCTTTACCTTACCTTGACCTTACTTTGTTTTAGGTCAATACAAGTTTTCAGAAGGATTTGCAACATTTGCTTCCCTTCTCAAATACTTTCGCTGTGCTACCCCATGTAGTGATGTTATCAAGGTATTGAAGGTTTTCAGGAGCTTCCCCCTACTCTAGAGCAGTCTGGATCAGCCCATGACAAATGGTAGGGCTGTGCTTCCAGCCCTGGGGCAGTCAATTCCACGTGGACAGGACGACCCTCCATGTGAAAGCAAAGTGTGGCCTTTGTATTGCTGTCAAAAGAATGGAGAAAAATGCATTAGCAATATATAGCAATATTAATTGTGGCATAGCACTTGGCTGCCTTTGACTCCAGTCGTACTGAATGAAGCTCTAGCATGCCTGGCACAGCAGCACTCAGTGGTGGTGGGACTTCATTCAAGCCACAGAAGTGCACCGTTATCTTCCACTCACCATTAGAATTTTGTACTGTCCATATGGGACTATTATAGGGTGAGCAAGTGTTGCTGATCACTCCGTGGCTCTCCAGTCGATGAACCAGCTCATGGATGGGAATCAGGGAGTCTCTGTTAGTGCAATATTGCCTCGGGCACACTGTTGTGGTAGCGATTGGCACCTGCTGCTCATTGGCCATCAGCACCTCCACAGCAGAAGGGTCCTGTGAAAGAGTGGGCAAGGTAGACAACTGCTTGGTGTCCTCCACCTCCAAGGCAGCTATGCCAAAAGGCCAACAATACCCTTGTGGATCTCCTGAAGTAGTCTATGCCAATGTTACACAGAGCCTCCAGGCCAGTCCCAATGGGTTGCATTTGCCACTCCTTCCCCGTTAGACTCACTTCAGCCTCCTGTATAGTTAACTCTTGGGTTTGATGTGCCAGGCCAATAATCCTCAAAGTCCAATGTACCTGATTGTCCTCTCCCTCCCCCAGGGTGGAGGCTGGGCCCCTCTAGTCCTGCTCATAGTATTCTTTACTCTGTTTGGAGGATTTCCCACTAGGAATTTGAGTAGCAAGTGTCTCAGAAGAATCCCGTTCTGTCAATCTTTTTTTCCTTGCACTTCATGTATCCGTGCCTCTAAGGTGGAGGTCGATTTTTGCATCCCATTTTCTCATGGCCTCTCCATGGTCACACAGTCAAAAGCACAGGATGGAACCTGGTATGTACCCACTATGTCACCTTTCTTGAGCAGAGGGATGCTTACATCTGATAGCTGAGCTATTTGTTCGTGCAGGTGGGGAGGAAGCCGTATTCTCTTGTAGTTGTTGGACCTCTTGGAAAAGTTTCTTTCTGGACAAGACACAGGCCCATAGGGAAGAAGAGAGACTTGCTTTGTAATGCCATAGTTGGCTAGCCAATTCATCCACCATGGGTTCCTCTTGGTCTTTCCAGGTCATTACTGCCCATGGGTTGGCATACGATGATGGTGTGCTCTGTACAAACTCCTGCCCCATGGGTCATGTGCACTTGACTTCATCTGGATCTTTGGATAGCTGTTTGTTATCTAGGTTTCTACAAATCGCCTTCAGCATGTCTAATTCCCTCAGGTACCGGATACCCCTCTGCATGGTGGTCCACTTTCATGGTTGACATACAAGATCTTCCTTCAAGGCAGACCTTTCCTTGATGCCTGACAGGATGAAGTTTCCTTGTGCCCATTTGCAACGGCTTTGTCTATCACCTACTGGAGGGTCCCAGCTGCTTGGCTTCCCTGCCTTCTAATTCCAGCCTATTGGCCCTGTTCTCCCACCACTGGAGCAGCCAGAAGACAATGTGCTCACTGAGATGATGGCTGAAATCATTTCCAATACCTCGTAGCTTACCATGGGATAGAGACCACTTGGTTTCCGATGCTTATATTATTTCACAGAATCACAGAATCACAGAATCACAGAATTTCTAGGTTGGAAGAGACCTCAAGATCATCGAGTCCAACCTCTGACCTAACACTAACAGTCCCCACTAAACCATATCCCTAAGCTCTACATCTAAACGTCTTTTGAAGACTTCCAGGGATGGTGACTCCACCACCTCCCTGGGCAGCCCGTTCCAGTGCCTAACAACCCTTTCAGTAAAGAAATTCTTCCTAACATCTAACCTAAAACTCCCCTGGCGTAACTTTAGCCCATTCCCCCTCATCCTGTCACCAGGCACATGGGAGAACAGGCCAACCCCCACCTCGCTACAGCCTCCTTTAATGTACTTATACAGAGCAATAAGGTCACCCCTGAGCCTCCTCTTCTCTAGGCTGAACAAGCCCAGCTCCTTCAGACGCTCCTCATAGGACTTGCTCTCCAGGCCCCTCACCAGCTTCGTCACCCTTCTCTGGACCCGCTCAAGCACCTCGATGTCCTTCTTGTAGCGAGGGGCCCAAAACTGAACACAGTACTTGAGGTGCGGCCTCACCAGAGCCGAGTCCAGGGGG